GGAAAACAGGTAGGTAGGTGAGAAGGACGTAAGCTCGTTGAGTTTGGTGGGTCGTGAGGAAATATGTATAGATGTTATGGTATGACACTACATACCACCTGAAGGAGAAGTGGCGATCCACGGAGAAGGCTCGTAGAGAATATATATACGTTGAGGGATCGTCATCTCTTCTACCTTTTATCGTTAAATTATTTGTCGAACGAAAGCACCGGTGGTGTAATTTTCAACTTAGCTAACAGGCCATAATAAGAACGCGCTATTTCTCAGAGCAGCCCAAGAGGTATAAAGCTTACAACTCAGTTACATTATATGGTATTTCTCGCGGCGCAATTTCAGTCTACGGGGTAATTCTCCCTATTGATGCAGAAAGGGGACAAAAATTTTCCTCATTCACATACGGAGGTACGGAATCATTTTCCTCTCCCTCCGCCCTTCGGGAATATATTCACTCCGGTTATAATATAGTTATATATGGTGTGCGGAGATTGCTTTAAACTAAGTCTTACATACTCCATTAGTTGAGCAGCACTAGGCACACCCTGATCTGTGGACCGTGGCCAGATATAGTGCCTTGACAATAAATGACAGCATCTTTACCTGTATCTGTGGTCTATACCGTGAAACCTCTTCTTGACCGCTACTCTGCTGGCCATTCGTCTCCCGACAGGGGCGGAGCCATAAACCATCAAAGGCACTCTCAACGGCATCACTCCTCAATGCAAAACGTACCTCAACCAGGTCCGTTCCCGTAGATATGCTGCGGCGAGGTATGATCCTCACTTCTTTGCCGGAGAGTGATACTATATCTTGACTCCTCATGCTCCCTATCGGCTTTGTGGTGAAGTCACCAGAGTTTGACCCATGGCGTTCGACATGGCTAGCAACTTGGGGGCCTACTGTATGATGCAGAAGGCCAACGGGGACTGGAATGTGCCTCTATTGATTGAAGATGTTTATAACAAGTTCCTTTCGTGCGTCGTACAAGCTTCATGACGGTGGACCCTAGACGGACTATTATGTTATTGTTACTATAATTATTATTGATACAGCAAGCAGAACTCCGTTGTATAATACATGATAGCCTATATCATACAGGTAAGAAGTTCCCCCCACAACCATCAGAAAGCCTGCTCCACCACGTCCAGATTTTATCAATATAAGGGTTCAGCCTTGTTCAACCTCACTAGGATAGTAGTGTGATGGGCTCGTCCCACGGTCCACAGGTCTTCCACAATCACCAAGGAGCATTCCAGGAGTTCATCGGGGAAGCTCCAGTCTCTACCAATTTATGCATACACCGAGTAAGTCTCCCTAAGCAGTAGTATACGGAGAGAGACGTAAATCCACGCCTTTCCGAAATAGCTGTCCGGTCCCGCCATTGACAATCCATCGTGGCTTGTTCCTCCAGGCCAGTTGGAAACGAGTGTCGTGCGTATCAGATACGTCTTTAACTTGGCTTCTCAAGCATGTACGATCGGAGTCGCTTGAGTATCGGCTCGTCATCAAGACTTTTGACAAGCACATCTGCGTATTGAGTCGCATACTCAGCAGCCTCTATGGCCACATCAGCCTCGGGATGAGAAGTGTTGGCGTACAAAGCGGCAATAGCAGCAGCAAACACACTGGCATCCTTGGCTATGTCATTTCCTGGATGCTTGTTGGCGACATAACTGGCAGCCCGCGTCGCCGCATCCTTGGCGTTCTTGATGGCAGATTCAGTCGCCACTCCACTGCTCGTGGAATCAAGATACTTGGCGACAAATGTAGTGGCACTTGCTTCGATATCTTTGTGAGTATATTTAGCGAGGATGTAATCTCTAGAAGCTTTCCGCGGTAAGTCTTCTAAAGGGGAAAACAATGCTTTCCAAATTCGATACTTCTTGAGGACCTCACTTGCCCCCAAGATTGCGGCTTCGGAGGTGGCGGTTACTCCTCTGAATGCTGGAAAATCTGCCGCATATTCGATGGCCCAGCCTCGCGCATCTGATCTGAACCTCAAAAAATAACTCAAACGGATTGGGTCGGAAATTTTAAGGGATCCCAACAACGCATGTTCAAACGCGATAATGGCGGCCCTCATTGATGCAATTGACAATGGCGTTTGGCCGGTCGAATCCTCGAAGTCGAGGTTGACCTTGGCTGTCCGGAGCAATAGCTCGAGTAGTTCTTCATTCCCAGTCTCGACAACCAACCGTAACAACTTTCGATCTTCCCTGGAAAAGTAGCTCTTTTCCCTGAAGCCTAGTTTGACGAGGGGCTTGCTGGCATTCTCATCCGCCAGCAAAAGCAATTCGTGGCCGGCGCCGCTGCGCGCACTAACCTCAAGCTCGCCGCTCATAAACACCTTGTCATGATACGCGTGCGGTTTTGACGATGGCTCGCTTAGCACATCATTTGGGACCTTTTCCAGTAGTGATATGATACTAGAGACGTCGTTTTTCGGTAGCTCAAGAAGATGAATGGACCCTTGGTACGATCTAGCGAAGGAGGTTTGAACCTGTCTCTGGGCTTCCTCGAAACTAGCGTTTTCAAGATCTTGTAGAGACTTCCAGAGGAGGGCGATCTTGAAACTAGGGAATTTTCCGGCCGCTCCACTGGCGCCGGTGGTCCAGTTCGAAGGGTTCAGCTCCTCAGAGCACAGCTCCTGGGGGCTGTTTTCTTCCAGGACATATATGATCCAGAGCTCCCGATCATGGCTCACGAAAACCTCATAGCCTGTCCACATCGAGCGGCCGTGCATGTTGACGAAGAGCTTCCCAATTGGAATGACGATCTCTGGGCAAGATATCAGCTCCAAGCTTCCGGATTTTGCAATATGGAACAGGCTATGGGCGTAGAGATCAACCAGGTCCGGCTCCACGGATCCAGCGGTGTGCAGGGTGGTCATCCAGGTGTAGGAAAGGTGAACCTGATAATCTGCTTTGTTTCGTTCGTTGGTAAACAGAGGAATCACTCTTTCGGCCATTGTGCTTGGTAGGGAACCGATCCATTCGCGAGTCTCATCGTCTCTAAGAGACTTTCCTTTCTTAACGACGTCGTCGAAAAATTGCATCACTGCGGGACTCTTTCTGAGCTCTTCGTTGCTCTTGTGAGAGTATTCGATATCGTAATCGTATTCGTCCGAATGATATGCCGTTGGTGTAACGGGCTGTGGATCGTAGGCTGCGGCCATGATGGGAACGGCAGATTCTAAAGAAGCTATCGACGCTAGCTGCAGTTCCTAGTCGGGGGTGGTCTTATTAGATACGAGCCCTAGTATAGTGGCGAACTTATCCAATTTAGAAATGCAGTAAGTTGGTTTATATTAGAAGATGTCGTAGTTAGGTGAGGATATCGTGACCCATGAGTTATAGGAAATCACTACTGCCATTTAATTCTATCTCCAACATAGCTACTCAAGAAAAGTCTCGAGCGTAACCTTACGTATCTACAGTAGAGAACGTATTTATCGTCATTTCTAACTAGCAGAAAATCCTTGGAAAGGATAAAGATCTAAATGTTAAAAATGTAGTAATAGAAAGACTATTTTCCTTAGTTATATAACTATATGAGCTGACTGAAATCATACTCAAATGTTCTTGTTTCGATTTCTGATTCATACTGCAAAGTTTTTATGGAAGTACGAATTTTCGAGCGTATTATGTCTAATTCCACCCTTTCTTTTTTCTATCTTGGTAATGGTTTCATAGGGTGCTCACGCTCGTAGTACGTAAATGTGCTGTGAATGCTTCGCTGACGGTTCTGGGAGTGAGATCGGTTGGGTCGCACCTTATTCAGTACTTCAGCTACCGGCCTTCCACCACAACGACGAGATCGCGACATCGACTTCGCCAAGTGCTAAAACATTGGGTGGCGAGATTTCGTCGGCCTCGTTTCTTCTAGCCTACGCTATTTTGCGAGCGAACGTTCGCGGAGCCTCCTCAGACAAGGGTTTTGCCTTTATTGTCCGGACAATGCTGTTGAAAATGTGAGTGGGAGATATATAGCATTTTCGACGCAGCCGAGAGTTTGCTTCTCCTCATAGCCTATATAACCTAGCAAATCGTATCTTCGACATTCGGATCATGATCCATGCTATCGTCCGTGGGGAAAACGCCTGCGCCTATATGTCCAGGAAACACTTTTTACTGCTGGCTTGTTTAAGCCTAATAAGACTGCTCCCCTAGCAACGGCGGATGTCGAAAATTCGCCGAGCCAGATGGTGGCGATGTTGGTCCGGGCGATGTTCTGTTTCGCCTCGATGAACTCTTGGATGCGGCCACCCACGCAGTGATGGTGACTGGCCGGGAACCCACCGACCACAATCAATTTACCAACGGTCAGATTCTTCTCACCGGCAAACCGGAGCTGCCTCTCAAGTAGACCTATGGTACCGTCTAGCGATGGCTGGGACAAGGCGCTAATTTCTTCCTTCGTCCACCTAATCTTACATTCATCCAACAAGACTCGTCGCAGCCCGTATTTTTCGTTGCCAATGTCGATCCTGGGCTTTTGATATAGATCCCAGTCGTTCGTTAGGGTCGTGACCCTTGCCTCTATATCCGAACCGTCCAGTAGCCTCTCTGCTTGTAGCTTGGGCTTGAGTTCCGCAGTATAACGCTGGCTTATAAAGGCAGAGCCGCAAAGAGCACTCTCGGATTGGACCATTCCTCTCTGAAGGCACGGTAGACTAGCGCCACCGGACGTTGCCTTATAGGTAGTCGATGTCGACCGTGCCTCCACCGGCATTCAACAGGATGAAGACTTCGTCCTTGACTCCTTGCGGAGGTTACCTTCTCCCCCAACGAGGCAAGCACAAATTGAGCGGCTGTATCAGGCTCCGACACAATGGAAGGATTGCTGATAACATTGCATCTCTTAATCGCCCTGGTCATTACGTTGTGCATAATTTGGCGAGCACTCTTTGACCATAACATCGGAGCACACAGGACGAACTCGAGATCTGAGGCATCCTGAAGATCGGCTTCTTTTCTGAGTATGCGTTTTGCGTGGCGCAGGAGTCAAGCAAGGTAATCTTGGAGAATATGGTCTCGGCCCAGGATGAACTGGCGTAATTGCAACCTTTGAATCTGTTCGGCCAGCTCCCCGCGTTTGTCCGTCAACTTCTCGTCGCCTAGGCTGAGCTTGATGAGCTTCACAACCTCACTCTCCTCATATCGATGGAGCTCCTTGGGATCCTTCTGCATTCTCTGGACGTTAAAGCCCCATTTCGTCGAAGCTCCTACGCATCTTCTCCATTAACTCAATTCTACAGTCCTAGCAACTTTCGCTGATCGTTTCTTGCCGCACTCGTAGCCTGCTGTATGGACACGTTTACGGCTTCCTTTGCCTTCAGGAGTCGTATCGGACCCTGGGTCGGACTCCGAGTCAGACCCAGGGTCATCGCCAAGGTTATCGCCAGGGTCATTGCCAGCAGCGGTAGCAGAGCCCAGATATAGGATCTCAAGTAGGGACATTGCCGATCCGAGAGTTCGCCATAACTCGGGCACCACCAGTGGCGTTCTTGGAGTCGTCGATACATCGTATGCAGTTGACCCCAAGAAGAGTAGCATCGGTGCCATGGACAACCTCCGCGTATGAGACGGTAGAATGTGTGGTTCCAAAATCGACGGCAATGATAAACTTCGAAGTATGTGGACGACAGAATACCAAATCTTTAGCCGACCCGATTGTTCTTCTTAAGGCGTCGACCTCTACGTGGACCAATTGGTGACTCTGTTTCTGTTCCAAGAGATCCCGTATGTGTTTGATTCGGGGTGATATGTAGAATCCAATACCGGGAGAATGGGAGCGTATGGCGAGGCCACGTTGATATGATCTAATACTATATAGCAAGACAGAAATTCCGCTTTTCCTTGAGCGGAATATTTGAGTAGCGACAGAGGATAAGAACGTTCTCCAGATTCAAGCGCTCATGGCCTATCGCCCTCCACCTACAGGGATCAAGGAGAGCCGTACCGACACAAGGTCTGATCGTATCTTTCGCGTCTTTCGCGTCTTTCGGGCTATGCTTGTGGATGTGGCCTAAAGCTCCATCTTACGTCCCATTTCTTGCCTCTTAGGTCCTCAATATAGCCCCGTCCTGTACGCCAGCATTTAGACTGAGTCGCAATAGAGGACCAGAATTCCTCTCAGCTCAGTCGTGAATCAGCAATTGCAGAGGCATTATGTTCTTCAGCTTTTAAGGGCAAGAAAGTCTCGAGATCCAGGTTGCCTCGCACAATGGCCTAATACCAGCGTGTGGTGCCTGCACAAGCCCGGACAACTTACTTTCCGACGTTTTAAAGATTGGGTCTTTCTTCGATTGGAGTGTCGAGACCTGTGATGACTTACCAGGGCTCTAACGAAGCTTTCGGATAATATCCTTTCGTACAGACCGTAATAGTAGGATGGCGGCTCGAGAGAGGGACAATATAGGGCATGGAAAAGTGGCTCTTGAGTCTTGACATCGGAGATCCGAAATTCAGCTGTATGTACGTAGGTGCCAGACTTTTGAAAACGCGCCCCGCTACCCGCGCCCCTCTCTGCTTGCGCCTCGCGTGGCAGATTATAACCCAACCTTTTCATCTTGAACTTGTGAGTATCGGCCTCTAGAACCCTAAGATACCCTACGGGCTATAGTACAGAGAATGATTTTAAAAAAGCCCTTACTTTCGCCGGGCGACACCTTCACGAAACGATTAATACCTAAATCAGCAGACCATCAAGAGTCAGTCATTGCATAATTTTCGAATCAACATGAGCCGTGGACAAACTCAGACGCACGGTAATATCCCAATAGAAGACCTAGCGACATGAGCAAGTAAAGTGCCAAAAGGCGAGAAAAAATGGGGGAACCAGAAAATCGAGACTCTCTACCAAGGGAGGTTACGGAGAAAGACCTGCGAACCCAGATACAGTATCAGAGAGTCTGAGAAAGGTGCATGAGTCCTTTCCATAGTTCAGGCTTGTCTAACATTCATTCACACAGGTTAAACAGTGGAAGATCTTGAGGGTAACTGAAAAAAAAA